CTTCCTTCCGAGGAGTGGCTGGTGGGTTTGAACCGCCAGCCTTCTGGTTAGCAGTCAAGTGCCTTAGCCACTATGCTACCAGAGCTCCCGGATGAGCAATAGTGCTACCTAATTTCACAGGTTCCTTTTCTTCCCCTGGGGTTAACACTCCCTCAGGAAAGGCTAGCTGAAGAATGGCCTGCAGGAGGTCCCAGTGCCACAGGCATCTGTCACAGCAAGAGACTGACTGGCTCCTTGGAGGGTTCTAAATCTTTTAAATATCATAGGAGGAAAATAAATCTAATCAATAACGCAAGAAGGAAAACCCCAGAGAGCACCCTCTTTTCATACCAGTGTGGCCTTAGTTGTTTAGAAAGCCATAGGAATGGTTCAGGGCTGCTCTCCTGGGCAATATAGCTGCTGGCAGAGTTCTTTGTGGTCCTAGAAGTGGGGCCAGACTGGCTGACCCCAGCAGATTGCATAGATTCCCATGTGACCACAACTCAGAACGGGAGAGGGAGTAGGGCTGCTTCAGGGTCCCTTTCCTTTCTTTCTTTTTAAAATGTTGGTAAAAATATACACAGCTGAACATACACCCAATGCTCGGTTTCTGCACATACAATTCACTAACACTAGTTACAGGCTCCACACTGTGTCACCATTCTTACTCTCTCTAGCCATATTGTTTCACCACCATGACTCAGACCCATGACCCCCTAAACTGCTGACAGTCCACCTCATATAGGTAATTCATTAAAACAGTGCAATGCTCACGAAGATCATTCTGAACTAACTTACTAAATGGCTGTTTAATTGAAAGATGATTTCAGGGGATAATCTTCATTCATGGTTGGAAGATTTTCTCAGATTGATGGATTTGGGAGTTTTTCTAGTCTCAATACATCTAGTAAGTCTGGATTCTGTAAGAATTTGAAATTATGTTCCACACTACCCATCCTTTGATCAGGATTTATTTATCGATTGCTTGATCAAAGCATTCAGTAACGGTAACTGGTTCATTTTCTGTCCTCTCCTCCTTGCTGTGGGGTCCGGTGCCCCGTCACTCCCTCACTCATCACTGAGGCCTCCTGTCCTCCCTTCAGGCCAGAGCTGGACACACTGGGAGATGCCTCTGCCTTATATCTGTCCAAATAGTCTTGACTTTTCCAAAGTGTTTTTTTTCTACTGGCTACATTTTATTTTAACTGAAATGACATCAGGCAAGTTGAGGCATATATCACTGTTTCTTGTATTAAGTACAAATTTTCTTTCGTTTTGAAGGTGAAGAAGCTACAGCATAGAGAGGGGAAGTTACCTGCTTCTAGGTTTAGTTATCAGCAGACCAGCGCTCAGAACCAGATCCCCTGACCTCCAGCTTCATCATTTGTCCCACAGGGTGAGTGTTCAAGAAGCTTACCTTTAGGCTATTGTAGGCCAGATCTGCATCCTGGTCCAAGTCAATGTCGTTCTTTGGTGGTTCCATCTGCATGGATAAAGAGACAGAGAAGTGGGCATGAACTACAGGCCAGGTAGTCTGCAGAGGTATTTCTGACCACACGAGCCCTGGTGGCACAATGGTTGAATGCTCAGCTACTGACATAAAGACTGGTGGTTTGACCAGTAGTCCATGGATGTGATGGGCCATGGGGATCTCAGCTTTAATGACCCTGAGACCAGAAGAACTAGATGGTGCCTGGCTACCAATGCCAACCACTCAGAAAGGGATCAAAATTGGAGAGCCTGGATAGAGTGGGAAGAAAACTGTGGAACAAGATTCAAAAATATAAAAGTGCCCAGAATTATCGGTCAGATAGAGACTGGTGGATTCCCTGAGACTTCAGGCCTGGAACTGGACTCACTTCCATGGATTAGCTCTCAGCCAAACAGTAGAAGACCTAAAAGCAGAACATCTACCCCTGGGAGATGCACCCACCTACCCTAGAGAGATGCTCCTCTTAGATCAATGAAATGAGAGAGACCCGAAGGGCCGCATTCACATAGAGGGAAAGCTGGACAGACAAGAATGCACAGAAAACAAGGGCACAGGGAAGGGGTAGTCATAGGGAGGAGATGGGAGTAGAGCTTTGTATGGTTGGGGACTGTAATCAGGGCTGTGAAACCAAATGTGCATGAAATGTTGAGAGTAAAATGAATCTGCTTTGTAAATCTGCACCCAAATCGTAATAAATTAAAAAAAAAAAAAAAAAAAGACTGGTGGTTTGAGCCCCTCCAGTGTCTCCATGGGAGAAAGACCTGGCAATCTGGGTCCATAAAGATTACAGCCTAGGAAACCCTATGGGGCAGATGTACTTGTCAGTTGGGGTGACCATGAGTTGGAATCAACTCTGACAACACACAGTATTTCTCACCATGGTCAACACTGTGCATGGCTCCTGCCTTTGAATGAATGCCTAGTACCCACCCACTCCACAAGTCCCCTTCCTTCCCACCTTCAAAATACAGCTCAATAACTTAAGACAACTAGAAGGCTCTCCATAAACAAGCTCCCCAGTCAACTGTCCCCCACCCCACAATTTTATTCACATGATCCCCATAGGCACTAACAGGCTGACCATGTGAGACATCTCGATGAGTGGGGTTAATGAGTACTCTTAAGCTTGTTTGGGGATGTGTGTACACGTGTGTACTGTTTTCGCAAATAAACTGAGCACCTTAGGGAGGAGCCTCTTCTAACAGGCAGAACAACAGCTGGTCCACATGGACGCTCAGCAAATGCCATCGGACCTCAGAACGCCAAGGCTAGTGGTTGTGGATGGCAACAACTATAATACTAGCCCATTCGGACCCAGCTGAGCCCACAATTGCTATAATTGTTTGGCAGCTAATGAATTTGAATTGCCCCAAAAGGAGGGTTAGAAACAGCTCTATCAATGGTTAATGTTTGGAGTGATCCCTGAATAAAGTGGGTTTTTAGAGCTAAAAAATTAAGAGTGCTTAATTAGATTTTCTACAGGGCTATCAACCTTTAAAGGAGTCCTGATGGTGCAACAGTTAAGTGCTCAGCTGCTAACCAAAAAGTCTGTAGTTCAAACTGACCAGCCACTGCATGAAAGAAAGATGGGGCAATCCACACTCATAAAGATCACAGCCTTTGTCTCAGAAGCTTGCAAGCCACCAATTAAAGTACAACAGGTGGTGTCTCCTCCTCTAGACAAAGAAGAATGAAGAAAACCCAAAGACACATGGAAACAATTAGTTCAAGGGACTAGTGGACTGTGAGAACCTCAGCCCATATGACCCTGAGACCATAAGGACTAGATGGTGCCTGGCTATCACTGTCAACCACTCAGAATGGAATCAAAATACTAGATCCTGGATAGAGTGGGAGAACAATGTGGACCAAAACTCACAATCATAAAAATGACCAGGATTGCTGGTCTGATGGAACATAGAGAAATCCCCGAGACTATGGCCCCCAGTCACCTTTTAGGCCTGGAATTGAACTCATTCCTGTGGCTTCCAGCCAAACAACAGACAGGCATATAAGGCGAACAGTTATACCAGGTAGGTATACTCCTTAGGACAATCAATCATGGAAGATCAGGAGGGTAACATTTGCATAGGGAGATAGCTCAAAGGGCAGGAATGCATAGAAAAGAACACAGGGAAAAGGTAATCACAAGGAGGAAGTGGGAAGAGAGCAGTTACATCATGGGGCTTGCAATCAATGTTATGAAACAAAAGTATATAAACTGCTGCATGGAAAACGAATTTGCTCTGTAAATTTTCACCCAAATCACAATTTAAAAAACAAAAAACAAAAAAACTCACTGCCATCGAGTCAGATTTGACTCATAGCAACCCCTCCTTGAGTTTCCCAGGCAGTATCACTATGGAAGTAGATTGCCCAACGCCTTTGAAATCCAATCGGGCAGTTCTACTCTGTACTATAGGGTCACTCAGTCTGAATTGACCCAATGGTAACTTTTTCTTTTTTTGGTATTAACCTTTAAG